CCCCAAGGCCCTGAGTTGGGTCTCACTGGTATGAATTGGATCATCTGCCCCTCCTGTCGACAAATCACAGTTGACAGGAAGAAGAAATATGCTAATTGGTCAGGCAGGGTTCACACATTTCCCAGGAGCCAGCCCTGTGGGAGTCAAGTGAGTGCCTCCCAGTGTGCTCAGCTCCCCACTTCACCCACGGCCCCTAGGAAAGTGACGGACATCTGTCTCAGGTGGTGGTGTGCTTGCTTGTGGAAGGGTAGCTGCTGCCTGCACCTCACTTTGTGCACACACTTTTTCCGGGGACTTGCCTAGCCATGCTCTGTGTGCAATAGGGTCACTGAGCTGGGAGATGAGTGGTGTCTGGTCCAAGGCCACTGGCTGAGCAATGGGTAGCAGAATAGGGACTCAGATCTCCTGCTTCCAAATATCCTTCTTTCCCACCCGCCCTGGGGTCACAGTGAGATTTCAGATCCCCACAGAGAGGTTTGAAGGCAGAGCAAGCCTTTTCCCCAGTGAGTAGGGTCAGCTGGGCATCTGGCTGTGGGCTTCTGGTTGCTCAGAGGAAAACCGAGGTGCTGGTCAGGGGAGGAAGGCCGGCCGTGCCGCAGTGTCCACCCTGCACCCTATTCCTACTTCTTCCAGCTTGGGAGACTGAGGCTTGGGGGAAGGCGCTGAGCTTCGCCTGTGACACTCTCATCTTTTCTTCAGTGTAAATCTTGTCTCTTTGGTCACTCTGTGAGCTCCTTTATGGGGAACTAGGGTCTCTCGTTGCTCTTTGATTTCTCCTAGGCACTGGGGCCCCCTGAAATACCCTACAGGCTCTCTATTTACATGTGTGAGCGCTGTTAGACTAAGGAAGTCTGTCCTAGACATTCAAAGCCACTTCCTCTAGCTGAGAATGTTGGAATTCATGAGATCTAAAGTTAGGAGCCATTCTGTAATATTTAAGTCCCAACATGACTATGGCCAGGCATCATTGACAAACACTTAGGGCAGCCTCTCCCTATTTTTAGTTCAAATACTTATAGAACAGCATCTAGTGCATGTACGCCTACGGGCCCACAACTGGAAATCTCACAGCCTGATTCTGCCCAAATAAGGGTGGCAAAGAGTGCCAGTCCCCCATCGAGGGTGGACCCAACAGGTGGACAGCTAAGAGAGGCCTGAATGCCAGGGATAGGCTATCAGCAGGTCAGATTCCAAGTGAGACGGGGCAAGGCTAGGCTGTGCCTTCAGCTCTCTCCAAAATAGCTCATCTCCACTTGTGTAGAGCAGCCCTGCCATCTTCCTCCCCAAGAACCGGGGTGGCTGCCCTCTCATGTTTCTGGGGGGCCATCAGACAGAGGGCCATCTACTCTTCCAGGGGATTCCATGCTGTTGGGAAAGTCAATTGCAGAGCAATCTGTGTGCTGCAGGCCTGAGGTGGGAATGGCTGGAGTGTGGGGGCTGAAGCCCACTATTTTGTCAGGGAGGCACAGGGTACCAGGACAAAATGGGTCATCAGGGAGAAAGCAGAAACTCTAGAATCAAGAGTACATAGAGTGCCCCTGTGCAAGGTAGAAAAAGCTCCTATGGCCAGGGGCTGATCTGACCACACATGGAAGCTATGCAGGTAGAGGCTGTGGAAAGCCCCCGCATCTCAGCAGGCCTTCTGGGGGCAGCCCTCTGCCCTCTGCCCTCAGCTCTAGGCAGCAGCAAGAGCTGTGTAATCCGTGGTAGCAGTCAGATGGAGTCAAGTCAGATTTGGCCAGAACTGTGCCTACTATGACTTCAGGAAATCTACAGGTTAGAAGGGTGCCTGCCCCACACAGCCCCACCTCACCTCCCTAGGACTCTCCTGTGGGTGCCAAGCTCACTGCTCCTTCCTGCATGAGATCCTGGAGAATTCCCGCAGAGAAAGTGTGGTACAGCTCCTGCTGGTCCTCACTGGCTTCCTCCTGGGGTCTCCCACAGGTCTAAATGCAGCCGGGGCACTCCGGAGACCTCTGGCTGTGATGTCTAAGCAGGCCTGCTAGGGCCAGTGGTCCTCCAGCGACTTTGCAGAGCCAGGGGACATCAGCCAGTCCTGGAGGCTTGCAGGGGGTCTATGGCCCAGGGGGGCCTCCCCAGCTCATGACCAGGACTGCTGTGCTGAGCACAGACCCTCACTCAAGGGCTTGTGAGCGCATGGAGTCAGAGCTCCAAGCACAGGAGGGCTGCATGGAGGGATTTCCCTCCCTGAGGAGGGGAAAGGCTGCCGCCGCGTGGCCATGGGGCTGGCTCGCAGTAAGGGCTGTGCCCTTGCCTGTTTGAGTGCATAGCTTTGTTCTCCGCCCATGTTGGTCTCCCTGCAAGTGAGTGAGGGTAGTGGTGGAGTTGGAGTGGCAGTGGGAATTCACTCAGTCCTGACGTCAGACCCAAGGGAGGAGAGCCTCTTTGGAGCCAGGGATTAGGGTAAGCCTCACAGCTTGCAGAGGACACAGGGTGGGAAATAGAGGATGGTGTCTAAGGAACTGGCCTTTGTGAGGGGCTGAGCTGAGCCTCAGCCAGGGGTCCCAGCCATGGAGAGGGGCAGAAGGAGCCTAGGGTTCAGGACAACACGTTTGGGGGGTGAAGTCAATGAGGAAGGATGCAGCCAGCTTGGTGAGAATGGAGACCGTGATGCTGCTGGGGAGACCAAGGCCAGGGCTGGGGACTTTTGACCTTAGGACTTTCTCCTCTTCCTTTCTCTTCCCTCTCAGTGAAGGTCTGAGTGGCTCAGGCACAGCCTGAGTGTGTCTCTTGAGCGTCTCTGTGTGTACCTCTGTCTTTCTCACCCTTTCTAACCTGTGTCCTTCCTTCTTCTCTGCTCAGATTTCATCTCAGGCTAGTATGAAGTTTCCATGCTGATGCTGCAGGTGGGAGCAATGCCCACCAAGGGAGGACTGGAGGGGCAAGCAAGCAACATGCTAGTGTGGCAGGGGGATGGCATGGGGTAAGGCTGGAGCTCAGGGACCAGGCCCCACCCGCTGAGGCCCTCCCCTCCCCTCCCGCCTGCCTTCTGCCCAGTAAAGGCAGAGAGAGGTCAGAGATGTCGAGAAAGGGTCCCATCCCAGGAAAGGGTGAGAACATAGCACACACAGCTCTGAGCTGGGGGCGTCAGTCCGGAAATAATATGCTGCCACCTACAGCCTTCCATCCAATGTGTGCCTTTGCCCCATGTCCAGAGCAATGCTCAGCCGAGCTGGAGCAGCAGGATTGATTTAGGGAAACAATGAGATAATGGAATGAAGCAGACTGGGGTTTCAGAGAGCAGACAAAATCAGGGCCATCTTGTGCATGGTTTTGACTGTGTGTCTGTGTGTGTGAGCAGATGTGCTCACATGGGGCTTGTGATCTGTGGGAAAGAAAGAAGAGCAGTCATTGAATTTCTAAAAATATCTGTAATTAGAGCAAAGCTGGGAACTTTTGCTTTAGAACAAGCCTGGGGAAGCTTTACTAGTCTACAAAGGTAGGCTGCTAGAAAAATTCTGAACTCTAGTGGGACAATCCCTCCCCTCACGAAACACACACAGAACAAAGCTGTCACCTGCAGAGCTCCAACCTACCACGCCACTCTGAGCATCACTGAGGGTGGCCAGCAGGCAGGGTTGGGTGGACGATGTCTTTGCTGTGATGCCTCCTCCGTCATACCATCTGGTCTTTCCCACTGAAGTCACTTGCTTCCCTTTGTGAGAAACAGGAGTGGTGGGACCCTCTCCTGCCTTCACCTGGAAGTGTGAACATGAGACTCAGGCTTGGATCTCACCATCTGCCTGTCCCCAGCCTAAGCCCATGCAGCCCTGGGGCTTGATGGTTATGGTGGTGTTGCATCTGTCAGTTCCTGGGATTCACATTTGCGTCTGCAGGACTTCCTGGGCTCTCAGTGTCACCTCTCACTTCTCTTGGCCCTTGGGCACATTAGCAAGGACTCGGCACCTCCTGTTTTTCATTTTTTAAATGGCAATAATAATCGTACTTATCTCACAGAGCTGTTGCTGTGAGTATTAAATATATTAATGCCAGCATCACACCCAATGTCTGCCTCAAAGTAAGTGGCCAATGAATGGGCACTTTTCTATTCAAGGCCCACACCTCTGGATTGCTCTCTAGGGCCCCATTTATGACCAGTGTCTCCTGTCTTAAGGTTTCAAGGCCTGGCTAGAAGAGTGAAAGACCCTTACAGCCTGCTCGTCCCTCACTCCCTCCCACCCTTCCTTCCTTTCTCCTTCCCTCCCTTCCTTCCTTCCTTTCTTCCTCCCTCCCTCCCTCCCTCCCTCCCTCCCTCCCTTCCTTCCTTCCTTCCTTCCTTCCTTCCTTCCTTCCCTCCTTCCTTCCTCATCTATTAATGCCTCCTGTGGGCTGAGCACTGCGTTGAGTGCTGGACGTGGACCATGCAACCCAGGCTGAGACCAGCCGGAAGACACACTGATGTGCTAATATCTGAGAAGCTTTCAGGATGGTGCCTGGTGCCCAGTAGTGCTATGTGAACGTGTTGCACATCAACATGGTCAGTTACGGCGGGCGAGCACCGCAGCTGTGGAGCACACTGGGGTCAGCTCACCCAGGCCTGGGGAGTCAGGGAGGAAGTGGCATGGAGCCAAGACCAGGTAAGGGAGGAGGGGAAGAAGGGGCCAGGCAGAGGGTGTGGCCCTGAGGCAGGAGATGCCCTGGCTGTGTGGGGAACGAGAAGCGCCGAAGTCCTGCTGGATTAAGCAGGGCCATGGGAGCCGCAGGAAAGCCTGTGGAGCAGGCTTGGGTCAGAGTGCTGGTCTTGTAAACTGTGCTGAACAGCTGACTGAACTGCATTCGGTGCAGATGCATTCCTGGTCTGGGTTTTGAGGGGGCTCTGATGTCTCAGCAAGGCTCCAGGATGCTCCATGGCAATTGGGAGCCCACCTCTGTGCGTCTGGGGGCTACCTGGGGCAGGCTTTCCCAGGCCTGTGAGACTGGGTGGCTGGGGCCACAGCGTGCTCTGTTCTAACCAGGCTCTGGGGCTTCTTTCTTGGCAGATGTAGGAGGAGCTCAAGTGCTGGCAACGGGCAAGCCCCCTGGGCCTGAAATCGGTAGGTGGCTCCCCATGCTATTCTGCACACAGGGTCAGGACAGGAAGGAGCCCCCAGACACACAGGCAGAGGGCTGCCCTGGCGGAATTGGTTCCCTGCTGTCAGCCCAGGAAAAGGGGCACCCTCACCTCCAGGCCCCCTGAGGGGCTGACAGCTTTATCCTGGGGACAAAGTCTTGCCTTAGAACTTGTCCACGCAGGGGATGTGAGACCTCAGGGCCACAGACGTGTGGCTCTAGCACCCACAGAGCCCTGTCCTGCAGCTGTGGACCCTGAGAACAGGCTCTGCCGGGCTCACAGCCCTCGTCAGTGCCTCCCTCCACCTGCGAGCTTCCAGCCTCTCTGCCCTTTAAGAGCCTCACGTGCCAGCCAGGCACAGTCTGCAGGCCTCACCCTCTGAGAAGACTCTGGGAGCCCATGACTCCAGGCCAACTCAGCCTCTCCCATCATGAGCTCCTTCCCTGTCCTCCCCAGCTGACTGCAGGCTCCTCAAAGACCACACAGGCCTCATCCATTCTCCTGCAGTGCTCACCACAGAGAGGCAATTAACACACACCCAGTAGATGAGTGGATGAATTAACTAAGGGATCAGTGAGGAAGGGCTGGGAGGCAGCCAGAGAAGTGAACTACTCACCATCTGGGGTGGGGGTAGCCGGGTGAGTTTTAGGGAACCTTGAAAGGTGGGAGCAATATCCCACCTTTCCCTGAAGGAACCAGGGATGGTGCTTTGGAAGGAGGGGATGGGGTGCGGGCAGAGGCTGGGAGCAAAGGGGCCCAAAGGAGAGTGGAAGGTGAGGCTGGCCTCTGCCGGTGGGAGGGTGTATTACAGGCAACATGCATGCTTTAGACCTCATCTGGAATGTAGAGGGAACTACAAGTGACTGAAGCCCATGTTCAATTCTTCCCTGCGTTTCAGATTTCAAGTATGCCCTCATCGGGACCGCCGTGGGTGTCGCCATAACTGCCGGCTTCCTGGCCCTGAAGATCTGCATGATCAGAAGGCACTTGTTTGACGACGACTCTTCCGACCTGAGAAGCCCGCCTGGGGGCCTCAGTGGTGAGGGATGCGGTGCTCAGGCCTGGCTCTGCCCCACCCAGCAAGGCACCCAGGGCCACTTCCTGATGCTGGCTACAGCAAGAATGAACCCATAAGGGCAGAGCCCAACAGGCTGAAAAGGAGGGCAGTGACATCTCTGTATCTCTGTCTCTCTCACTATTCCTTTGCCTCTGTTTCTCTTTCTTCTGTCTCTCTCTGTCTCTCTATTTGTGTTCCTTTTCCTGTCTCTCTATCTCTGTCTCTCTGTCTTTCTCTGTCTCTTTCCCTCTGTACTTTTCCTTTCAGTTGCTCTTGGTATTCCTGAGAATCATGTTTCCTGGAGAAAGGTGGGAGAGGAACTGAAATTGGTGTCACACAGAAATTTCTGTTCTTTCATCCAAATGATGTGATCAGATGAACCCAGTCCCAGGAGGCAGCAAGTCCGGTCCTAAATGTGGGTGGGAGGTGGGAGGTTCTGTTGACAATGCCTGTGTGGGTCAAGATGCATTTTTTTTTTCATAAATTGGGAAAGTACTTCTCAGAACAGTACTGAGTAGCCCCTCAGATAGAAACCAAGCTGGCTGACATACACCGTGGCACAGCCCTCCGCCTCCTTGGCACCCGAAATGCAGTATTGATTTGCACTCCTTCTCTCAGGGTGTCACTCCCAAACTCATCCTCTGTTGTATTAGACAGCTCAGCGCAATGACAGCGCAGTTTTCCATGGGGTGCTTCTGGGGAGGACAGAACCCCACTGTCTTTCTGGAGGATGTGATTATCATCTTTGAGGTTAAGCAGAAGGGGCTGGTCTGGGCCAGGAGAGGAGGAAAGTGCTGGCATGTGCATCACCTGAGGGGCTTAATAGGTCATGGGAGTTTGCTTATCCTTGAGTTTGCTTATCCTTTTGTATCCCTACAATAAGGAGAGGGAACAGCCTCTTCACCACATAGCAGCCAGGCCCCAGATCTCTTACCTGTGAATGAGAGGACCCAGGAGGGAGAGGTGAAGGCTCTAGGGAACGCTCTACACCTCTCCTCACAGGACCTCCTTCCTAATACCCGGCTTTCTCTGTTTAGACACTGACCCGCTAAAGAAGAGAGCCCCAAGGTAAGGCCACTGCCCACACAGTCAGGGAGAGTGTCGTGTTCTCTCCTGTCTTGGTCATTCCACTCCCTTGCCTGTCATCCCCAGCCTTCTGTGCACTCTGGCATGCTTTCTAGGTGACTAGAATGCACCCCATGGCCCCCTCCTTCCACTTTCTCCTCCTCTAGACCAGTGGGAAGGTACCACAAGAGTGAGGGCCACATGATGCGATCATCAAAGGGAGTAGAGTTCGCCTCTGCACACCCTGGATTAGGTCCTGCCCCACCCCCACTCGGACTCCTTCAGTGCATACCCCACCACTCAGAGTGAGGTCTCTAGCCCCTGTCACTTGGGAGGTCACACGTGGTTTATCCCAGGTTTCCTGGCTTCTCTGCTGGCATCCAGGTACCTGCTTTTCTGTGCAGAACCCATGTCTTCAGGGACCGTCCTGCCGAGGGACATTTGCACTTGCTGTTTTCTGTCACTGGAATGGTCTTTGCCAGAAAGCTGCAAGCCTTGCCCCTCAGTTCCTTCAGATCGCTGCTTCAGTGTCACCACTGCATCATAGAGAGCTTATTTAAAGTACAATGCCCCCTCTACCCCAGCCACCACTCTCTTCTCTTTGCCTGGCTTTAGTTTTCTTTATATTTCCTTGCACTAGTTGATGCTATATGATATATTGATTTGTCTATTTTATAAGGGTTTCTTTCTAAAATGTAAGCTCTGGGAGGGTAGGGTCTTCCTTTTCACCCCTGTAACCCAGCACTTAGCACAGTGTCAGGGACGAAGTGGGTACTTGCGTATGTGCTGAATGAATGAATAAATAAATGGGCATGAGGCCATGGGCTAGGTGCTGGGGATCAAAGAGAAAGAAGTAGGACAATCTCCCGTCTACAAGGCAGATAAGCAGGTCCCAGGTGATGGCCACACACTTGGGGTGGTGGGGGTCCTGGGAGGGCTATGGCAGGCTGAGCGTGTGTTGCCTTGTGTCTTGGGGGTGCAGAGGGCTGCGTAGCCACTGGGAGGTGCAGGGGAGCCTCAGGTTACGTGACAAAGGACTAAGAGAAGCTCACGAAGGCAGAGGGAACCCTAGTATATGTAGGCATCATGAGTAAAACCTGCAGCTGAAAAACATGCATTGTGGCAGAAGCAAGTATTTCATGCGACCATGTGGAAGGAAGGGCTGGAAAGATAAGTAGTTTCTACACAATGGACGATCAGAAGGGCTTGTGCTAAGCAAAGGAGTCTGAAATCTGTCCTGAAACTTCTGGTCACCTCCTGATGGATTCTAAGCAGAGGAGGGATAGAGTATTTTTTGTTGTGTAGTAGCATGGAGGAGACCCAGCTGCAGCCAGGAAGATGTGCTGAAAGTCCAGACAGAGACTCGGGCCTGCTGCAAAGCCCTACTGGAGTAAGTCGCATAGAGGCAAGGGAGAAAATGAAAGATGGGAACAAAGTTAAGGAGGAGCTGGCCCAGGGACCTGGGATGAGGGACTGGGGCAGCCACTGGAGGAGAGAAAAAAACCTAGAACAGCTCAGAGTTTTTTCTGAGCTGCTGCCCTTTGGGAATTTGATGGGGGAGCAACTTTGGGCAATAGGCTGGGTGAGATGATATTCTTTTGAACATGGTGAGCCTGAGGTTTCTGGATACTTCCACGTAGAGATGTCTAGTAAGTGACTGGCATTTAGGACAGAGGTCTGGGCTGACACAGGCATAGTGGCTTTTAGAAAGTACCCAGAGCCCAGTCTTACCGTCTGTGTCTTCCATGGGACCTGGGACTGGGTAATCTCCAAGCAGTGTCTATTGGAGGAACGGATGGATTAACGGTTGCATGAGGGGTAGATGCATGGCGCATTGTGGCTTCGGGTCAGGACTCATCAGCCCTCATGAGGTCATGCCCTTGGAATGAGCTGGGTATGGACTTTCTTAGTTCACTTTTTTTTTGAGGATTTCTCTTCCTTCAGAAATTCTAGTTTTCAGCAGTGGCTTCTGATTGTGAAGCATTACCGCATGTTTCATCAACCCTGTCTCCCAGCATTCCATCTCTCCTTCTGTTTCTGACTCACTCTCCTTCTCTCTGTCCCCTCCCATGTTATCACCCCACCCCAAGCATGTTGTCACTCCAATGGGCCCTGGGCTAGAGAAGACAGGGTGCAGCTAGGGTGACCTTATAACTTATCATCCAAGACAGGGCTTTGTGAGAGTGGGAAGAGGCTCTGTAAAAAGATCTGCACCAGGATGATGGACCAGAGCCTGGACCATCCTTGGGAAATAGGGATGTGTGGCCAACCTAGGATGAGAGAGCCTGTGAGGTCTCCAGGCCCTGGTGGCCACACAGACTCCTCTTGCTGGCCATGTCACATTCTCTGCACCCAGGGCAGGTCACCAGCTTTAGGGGGCTTTTAGAAATGTGTGGTGTAATTGGGGATAGTTCAGGTTGAGGGACTAAAGATGCCACTTGTCCCATCTCTCTTTCTCTCTCTCTCCCCCCCACCATTCTCCCCTCTCTCTCTCTCTCTCACACACACACATATACTCACAAACACAGACCCACGTTGGCTGAAGTTGTCACATTCTTTTCTATAGAAGAAACATGCCAAACAGCTCCCAGTACCACCAAATCCACTGATGTGGGAGAGTGGAGTTCCATGCTGGCCAGCTCTTCATGCCCCTCCTCCCACCCCCAGTCCTAAGGGGCCTTCACCCTGTGGCAGCTCTGTCTTCTTCTAGCCCCAGGGGGATTGGCACAAAGACAGGTTCCCCTGAGTATACAGCTGCAGCACCTGGCCAGGAGGGTGTCCCGGTCCCCACTGACTCCAGGGCAGCACTCAGATGGCTGGGGGTTGAGTGCTGAGTCAGCCTCTCCCACCGTAGAATCAGTGTGGACTGACCGCTATCAGGATTTTCACACAGGGCTCTCAGAGGACATGAGGAGGCCATGGATTGAGTCTGGAAGGGTGAGAAGGATTGACTCCCGAGAACCTTTGTTGCCTTTGTGGGTCTAGGTAGCATCTGTGGTGAGGAGTGCAGGAGGAGCCTGTTTTGAGTGGATGGGCTGTGTTGGCCATGATGAAGACCTGGGCACCACGTGGCCTCAGAGGCCCTCTTCTGGGTTCTTAGGTACCCAGGCAGAGGACATAGACTGCTGTGACCAGCTCAGGTTCTGTGGTCAGGAATCTTGAAACACATGGAGTTTCGAGCACAAGACCGCACCACAAGGAGGGCTCTAAAGTGCTGGAGCTCTAGTCAGCACAGGGATGCTCCCTTGACCATCCAAACTGCGGGCGCACATTGAGGGACCCTTTGAGTTAAAGCACTTTGCTTTGCAAATTGGCAGACCCTGGAGCTGACCATGCTTCAGGGACATCTTAGCCATGGCCTTCACATAGAATAAAATTTCATAAAGGCTGATCCTTAATCCTCGTGTGTGTGTGCATGTGTGTGTGTGTATGCAGTGTCTGTGTATATGTGTATGTATGTCCATGTGGTCATTCATGATGGACTCTGACACACATGGGAAGATGCTGCTGTGAGCAATACAACACAAGCCCATTTGAAAACACTGCTGAATGAACAGTCACTATGCTTTTTATGTTCTTATGCATGCTCATCTAAGAGGAGCATCTCTGCTATATGTGTTTTTTTGGAAGTTCTGGGTTATTTTGAGCCATCAGGGCTATAGAAGGCATTTTCCATAATCCAGGAAAGATGACTTCAATAGTTATTCAACAATAAACTTTCTGAAAGCAAAGTTCATGAAAAAGCATGAAGGGATGCTGGAGGAAGCAGGTGGGCGAGGAAGGCAAGAAATAAAGGCCAGGAGAGAGAGGGGCTGGGAGGCAATGGCTGGATGGGAGTTTATACCCCTGGTAATTAATGCTTTGCCCTCACCAAGTGTAGGGAGCTGTTCTTGGCAAGTATCATAACAGAGCTCCTCTGAAAATAGAGGGACTTTCAGAGAGGAGAGGCAGTATTCGAGTTTCCAAAACTAACACTAGATGGAGTCAGGCTGAGTCATAGGAAAGTCAGACCCCAAAGAGCAAGCTAATGACAAGACAAGCCACTCTCTGGCAGCAAGCTTTGCATTGTTTTCTATCGTCCGAGACTTAGGCAATGAACATCCTTTTATCTTGTTTTGCAGGCGAAACCACAATTTCTCCAAAAGGTGAGTCATAAGCGTGATCACTTGTACTAAAAGGACAGGCAGGTGCTGCGCCATGGGGCTGCATGGGTTTTCAGCATGGCCTCTCCCTTACCCTGGTCACGCGGATGGGCAGGTATGGCCATGGCCAGGAGCCCTCATCCAGAATAGCTGTGAGACTAGCCAGGAATCAGCATCACTTTGGGACATAGTGGTACTTGGCAAGATTTAAACTGAAGCTGTGGGGCATTTGCCCAGGTAGAGCTGAGAAAATGGGGTTTTAATAGGATAAGCTTTTTTTCATTCTCTAAGACCTATCCTTTTTTTTTTAATTATTATTCCATTTATTTATGTTATTGCATTTTAGGTTTTGGGGTAGATGTGAGGAACATGCAAGATTGTTGCATCGGTACACACGTGGCAGTGTGATTTGCTGCCTTCCTCCCCATCACCTACATCTGGCATCCCTCCCCTTGCTATCTCTCCCCAGCTTCCTATCCTTTTATAGTGTCCAATCTAATAACTAGCCAATTTAGTCCATTTGATGAAAAATTCCCAAACTTCTCTTCATGTCATCACGCTAGGTTTGGCTGGGTATTTGCAGTGCTAGGTATTCTCAGTGCTGCTTTGGGTTCTCAGAATGGACTAAGCCTGCAAGTGGAGGGCTGGTCCACAGGAAGGGACAGGATCTCAGAACCCTGATTGACTGAGCCTGTGAATGAAGATTCCTAGGAATGAAGGCATCTTCACCAGGATTTTGAGGATCGTTATTTCACAATCCACATTGCCCAGCTTGGTTTTTCCTCACCTCATGCCCGTGCATGTGATGAACCCACTGAGAATTTACTCCCTGTCCGACCAGCCCAGGATGGTCATACAGGCCTGGGGTGGTCTCTTGACCTTTCTCTCACTCTTCTGCTTTTTGAAGAATCTTCAAATCCAAAGAAAAGTTGAAAGAACCCAACAATCACTCTTCACTAACATGGTGCCCCCTTTGCTTTATCTCTGTGTACATAAGCCTTTTTTGGCTGACCTACTTGCTAATTAGTGTAGATATCGTGATACTTCACCCCTGAATACAGCAACATTGTGTCTCTTATTGTGTATAATCACAATACAATGACTACTCCTAAGAAAATTAATGCAAATTTAGTATCATCTATTATCTAGTTCATGTTTAAATTTCTCTGGTTATTTCAGAAGTATCTTTTATTGCTGTATTTTTTATTGTGCTATTTTACAATCCAGAAAAAGAGCTGTGTTTGTTTTTTCTTTTCTTTAACTCTCTTTCAGTGTTGAACAACCCCTCTGCCTTTTATCCTTATGGCTTGTTGACTGAGAAGTCCCTCAGCCTGTTGTCTTATACAGTGTCCCATTTTCTAGATTTGTCTGATTGTTTCCTCTGGAGTAGATTCAGATTGAAGTTTTTGGTTGGGAATATCACGAAATGATATTGTGTATCTTTCGTCGTATGGCGTCACTGTTGGTGATGCTTCCTTTGCTTGGTTAAGGGAGTGACCACTAGATTTCTGCATTTGTAGAGATTATAATTTTCCCCTCTGAGATGCGTGAATAATATGAGGGGTGGCACTTTGACACTGTGTGAATATTCTGACCCCCAACAGTTCCTCACCTAATGATTTTATATCTATTCATGATCCTGCTTGAAGCAGTCATTGCCATTGGTGATTACAAAATATTGACTTTCTAATTCCAGCATTTCTTCTATATTTAATAGCTGACATTCATCTGGAAGAAAGCCTTTTTATTCTATGTCTTTCTTCTTCTCCTGTTTGTTGAAGATTATTGCTGTGGCTTTTAATGCATTTTTATCCATTACCATCATGATCCTTTCTGATGCTCAATTGTCTCAAATTTGGCCAGTGCAAGTCACTTCTTGGTGGCTCCTGTGCCCTTTTGACAGAACCCCATTCATCTTTGAGCACATGCTGGACTTCTGACACAACACAATACCTCAGGCTCACCTTGTCCTGCTCCCAAGGGCAGCACAAGGGTCTAATTTTCCCAAGGGTCCCTGTTTGTCTCTCTCTCTTTCTCTCATTTTATTTTAATTTTTACTATGGAATAATTTTTAGAAACCAAGATTGGGGCACAATGTGTACTACTGAGGTGACATTGCTTCTACGGCCTTTCAATGGACAGTCAGGAAATATGTATTTTAATTACAAATTCAATATCATAAGATTTTTCCTAAGCTTTCCCCATTCCATATGTCTAGATTGCCTTCTCCACAGTACAAACCCAGCTTTCAAACACATAATATTTTTACTCATTTTCTCTATTCTATAATGCACACAAAATACTTCCAGAAATTAGAGCACTGTACAGCTATAGACCTGCTCAATAAACTTGCACATTTCTTTGCAGTGGCTTTTGCCCTTAGAATTTAGCCCTCTAAGGGTTTACAGCTAGCATATTGTATTCAAATGGAATTAATTATATTCTCTGTGTGGTTATGCTATCAACTGGATAGTCAGAAACACTTGTTTTAGTGTGTATCTATTTTACTGTTTCCTGTTATAATCTTTTTACATTTTAACTTATATAGTTTTGTTTACACCATTTATCTCTGAGTCTCGTGTTATGTACACGATTCAGAGATAAACTGTGTGAAAAGATAAACTCAGAGAAGTCTTTCCCCTGTAACTGTCCACTCCACCCTGTTCCTACCTACTGCTTTGAAGTTGCTATTTTCAATAGTTTCTAGTTTGTTTTTAATGTGTTACTTTTATAGAAATATATTTAATGAAAAATAATTTTATATAGAAAATATGTATGCACACATATATACATCTATATGTAAACATTTTCTAATTTTATTTTAAAATTTTAATTTTAAAATGTAAACATTTTCTAATTTTATTTTAATTTAAAATTTTAAATAAAATTAGACAATGTTTATGTATATATGTGCCTATATATTTTCTCCAGCACTTGGATGGTTTTGTTGTTTACTTAGATGTCTGATCCATTTGGCATTTATTCTGGTGTGTGGTATGAGTTACAGATCCAATTTTGTCTTTTTCCCAAATGGCAACTGAATTATTCTGATACTATTTTTTAAAATCACCCTATTTCCCCAGCGTTTCATTTGCCACTTTTATAACGTTCTAAATTACTATATGTACTGGGATATTTCTAGACTTTATTTTCCACTGGTATTTGTGGTTATTGATATGCTGGTGCCACACTCTTACCTAGAGAGGCTTCCTAGTGTGTTCTGCCTTCTGGTAGAGCTGGTTTCCTCCATCCGCACACACCTTGTGCTTCCTTTGCAGGGGACATTCTTGCGATTCTATTCCAGCTATTCTTGAATCAACTACAGACTCTTTCTACAGAAACAAAAGTCTTTCATGGGATGGGGGCTGGAGGGGAGGTCCCAGTGGAGAGTTTTATGACTGCTTTGTTTTTTTGGTTATTGGGTTTTTGTATAGACCAAAGTAAAGAAAAGAAAAATAACACACAGAAAAAAAAAGAAGCAAACATCTCGATATTTAAATTGGGGTTACATTACATTTATATATTGAGTGAAAGATTATTTACTTCTTCACAATGGTAAGTGGCTCTCCACGGAAAAAAGGTAATTTTTTCATAAAAGTTATCTGCTTTTGTGTGTTGCTATTTTTGTGTCAGGAGAGTTTTCACATTTCACTCTTATAAAGTTTTTGCATTTTTTGTTATATTTATTCCTAAGTATTTTGCGTTTGCTGCTTTCAAAATGGAGTTTTCGCCATTACATCTCCTACCTGGTCATTGATTGTATTTTGATTTTGGGTGATTATGTTAATGTTATAGTGGTTGCCTTGTTGAATGCTTTTACTATTTATCTGTTTTCTCCTTTGTCCCTTCAGTTTTCACACTACGATGTCGTCTGCCAAAATATAGATCTTCTTTCCAAATTCCTATGCCTCTAATTGTTTTCTCCTCTCTGATTGCATTGGCTAAAAACACCAATGTTAAATAATAGTGGAAAAAGTGTGCATACGACATGCCTCTGGCCAGACTTTGATGGGAAATCTACTAGTGGTCCCTGAGAAGTAAGATGCTGCCTCTGGAGCTGAAGCACATATAACTTATCCTGTTAATGAGCATTCATCAGTTCCTATTTTACTGAGTTTTAAAAATCAGAAACGTGTGTTTGATTTTGCCAGAGATTTTTTTTTAGTATTAGCAGGCGTTAATATATCCTAAACAGACACACCGTGGTGCTGACCGGAGTGTACAGGCACCGTCGTTATTGGTTTTACTTTTGTTTTTGTTGTTCTCCTTCTCTCCTTTTTGGTCTATGTGATTCTTGGAGGATGTGGTCAAAGATTTGGGTTTAGTAGCCACTAAATCATATGGTATGAAACACTCTCTTGCTCTTTCTCTTTATGCCAGCCTAGGGTAACATGCAGCCTAATTCACCTATTAGTTCAGCCAGCAGATGCTACCCCAGATGCTGCTGGCCTTACCTTATTTTCGCCAGATTGTGCCTGGCTCTCTGGTGGCTGGTGATACATCCATCTGCAGAGGTATCGCTACCTGTCAGAGAACAACTTAATCCATGAGGTAGCTCAGCAGTGCCCCTTCTTCTGCTCAGGGCAGCCAGGGCTGGGCAGAGGCTGCTTTCCTGGGCTGCCTATCCACTCTGGGCATTGGTATCTCAAGTGCAAACCTGGCTAGCTTCGGCCTCTTTAGAGCCATTCCTTATCAACACTTGAAGGGGCCTTTTAATGCAGGGCTTGTTAAAGACACTAGGAAGGATGAACCCTCTGCTCAGCCCCTGTGCCTCTAAACCCCATGTTCCTCTGGACCCTCCATCCTTTAAAGAAGAAACAAACCCCTGGCGGCATTTGAGACCTTGCTTGGAATCCCTTCCTTCACTTTTCTCACCACTTCCTCTCACCATATCTTGCTTGTTTCCAATGTCTTTCTTGTCTTTAACATTGGCTCTACTGCCGTCAAGCTCCATAGCCCTGACCTTGACCCATGTCCTTGGTTCTCAAATATAGGGTAGGCAGATATAGGCTTTCTGTTTTATGTCCTTTGACGTGGCTTGTCCCAAAGATGCTTCACTCTGTCCTGCCTTCCTGATGTTGCTGACTGGTCTCTCATGGGGAGATCTTAGCTGTCAGGAGACTGTGACTGAATATGCACAATGGAAAGTCATAAACAATTTTGCATTATTCAATGTAAGCATATATACCATTCTATTATATTCTAGATGTCTATGTGAGACTACAGTGAGGGTGTGAATTTGGTTTCAAGGCATGGCGTTATAAGTGAGGCCTGTAGCAGGATCTGCATCCTACTTTCAGTGCAAGCTCTATTGTATCAGGATATGGTTTGTTGACTCAGATTTGTTGTTCTCTTCCATGTTCCTCTTTTTTAGACACTTATGCTGCCCTTCCCTTCCATCAGAACTGGTACACCAAGTATGGAGAAGTCTCGCCATTTGTAACAGCTTGTAGTTCAGACGTGAAGGCATTATTTTCCAGTTCCATTCTCACAGTCTGCCCACCTTATTCCTTGTAGCATTTGCCCAGGTCTGTGCAAATTCATCAACTACAGAAAGTGACGTGTTCCCCAAAATATGCCTATTCACCTCAAGGAATGACTTCTCTTTTTGTCATCAAAGTGGATGAGGTTTTGTTTGCCTCGGGTTTGGCAGGCAGAAAACAACTTCCAGGTTGAGCTCTCCCCTTTACCCAGAAGCCACAGGCCTTCATGTTCTTTTCTGTGTTGCACAAGGAAGTGTCCCACCTTGCAGGTTTTGCTGATGAGCTCTTTTATACCTGTTTAATTGTGTGAGTTGCATAAACACATGCAATAATTAGAGTATAGTTGTTCTGTCAATAAGCCTTCCAGACGGTTCTCTTCCTTTCCAGAGATGCACAGGTGATTGAGCTGTAGGTGAGCAGCCGTGAGAAGAGGGGTCCAGCCCTGTGGACAAGGGCCTACAGTTACCATCTCAGGATGTTCTGCGTTTGAACGCCCAAGTAATGGTAATAGACTTTCACATGGACTGAATATTGGAGGAAAATAATAGAAGGAATAGAATCTACAGTGCCTTTGTCCTGAAGGAAAATATCACTCCTCTTCTGCAAGAAGTGGACTACACAAAGGGAGGCTTGAGCACTTTAGCCTGCAGTAGGAAAAGATGGACACCTCAAACTTCACCCTGTGTTGGAGCTGTTCATGCTTCTGCAAGGGCATGGTGTCCATGTTCATGGAACCTACCACAGATAATGGCTCATGAAAAAGGGAATGGGACCCAACATATAGCTTCCTACACACTGCCATCTTATTAACAGTTAGGCAGTACTTTGTTGAATGATTAGCTTCACCTTCTTAGCTGCCAGGAGATCCCTTCTTAAAGATTCGGGAGCCCTGAAACATGGGGTCCCTGGGACAGTCTCCATCCCTATCGATGAATACTGGCCTCCTGGAGCAGAAATGGCAGGCTGGGTTAGCACTGGAGGAAGGCCTTTGGTGTTCATGGGATGGGCCTGCTGCTCTCAGACATTCAAAGGATGGAGCTAAGGAAGGACCAAATGAGAAAGCAGATGCCGTGCCTTGTAGAGGGCCATGAATGTAAGTTATAGTTGTTCTCCTTATATAATTATTTTGTGGTTATTATTAGAAAGTGCATGGCTGGTGCATAAAAGACATGACTGGTGGAGGCTCAGGAAAGCCATGTCATTCTAAAATTGCCACCAGGTTAAGGCCCCATGAGCATTTCTCTCCTTTGTATATTAACCCTGTGTTTCGGGGGCCACATCATGGAATATTCTTTGCCTTTCCAGTTTCCAGGAACTCTGTTGGATTGGGCTGCCCTCCTTATGTGTGATGAAAGATGAGCTATATTTCAGAACAAAGTGCTGTGTTGTCATAATTTGCCTGGACTCCCAGGGCATCTCTTATCTGACTTGATAACGATGCTGTTCATTAGCAGCCTTTGTTAACTGATAACCAAGAGTGGTAATGTGATACTCATAAGCAATTTTCTGTGTGTAAGATAAAATGAACCATCTTGTATGTAATCTGCTAATTGATTTGCTTCCTTTAGCAGCATTTTAATTAAGACATCTGGTTTGTGAATGGCAGAAACACTTGTGACTGAAGGTGAATGCTCCTGGACTCCCAGCCATCGTTTTACCTTCTGTACACACAGCAAAACCATGGTGTTCTCTCCCGGACCCCACCTCATGACATATTTTCCCAACACCACCACTGGACTCTGGTTTTGTTTTAGCCCCACACAAGGTTTCCCAGGTGAAGAACAGAGAGGCTTATGCTGAAGGCCAGTATCCTCTCCTTGGGTCATACAGGCTGATAATATCTGGGAGGCAGATGGGGAAGGGGCCCTGACGTTGAGGTCTCTCTGACTTACTCTCCATACCCAAGCTCAATGGCTGCCTTCTGGATGTCCTTCTAGGCCTATTAGAAGCTCTCTGAAGCCCCCCTTGACAGCTCCTCTCCATAAGAGCAGCTCCTGGGGACACAGGGTCCAATGGGCAGTAGCTCTTGGAAGTGACTGAAAGGAGTCCTAACAAGCCATTGGGTCTGCGGGCGCAGCTTCTTGAGTCAGGGCCATTCCAGCATGACTGCCTCACCCTGTAGTTTGACAATATGCTAGGAGAGGCCAGAGGCTGGACTAAGACCCATCCTCCCAGCCTTCTAAGTTCTGGGACCCCAGGACACATACAGCTTCCCCCACCACAGCCCACAACAGCATGGAGAATACCATGCCCGAAGGGAAGGGGACAAACACCAGGAGGAAGAGCCATCCTGCAGGGGTGAAGCAGGTCACAGATGGCTGCAGCCAGCCAGGATCTAATGAAGTGGCTGTGGTTTGAAGCCTCCAGGACTCAGTACGGGAAGGAGGGGAAGGTGAGATGAGAAAGGGTTATCTGGCAAGGCCAATAAATTAAAAATCATCTGTAGAAGTATCAATCTATATATCTGTACATTTAAAGTGTATTTACCTCAAATCTATACAAATTAATACATAAACATGTATATGTATGGGTGTCCTCCTCTATGTGTGTTAAAAATGTACATATCATGCAATTCTAGTAAATAAATGCAGGTTTGAGGAATTAATAAAACTTCTTTCTAAGCAGGCAGGGTTCTTAGACAGAGGGAGGCTGAGCTGAACAGAGCCTGAAGATGTAACCTTTCCATCATCAAAGTTGGGAAACAGCTGAGAGGCAGACAAGCCAGGCAGTTGGAAACAAAAATATCAGTGCTATTGTGACTCTGAAACGAGTCACGGAATGCCAGCATCCCTCTGCAGCTTCTAGAGTTCCCACAGCACCCATGCTGCAGTCCAAGCAGGAAGTGAGAATGGCTCCAGTGGAATGCTGGCAGCAAAGGGGCAGAGAGTGGGGATGGGGTGGAGGGTTGGAGATGAACCTTAGGGGAAGGGGTGCCAGGACTTGCTGGTGGATCAATCTGTCAGGGAGGCAGAGGGAGTTCATAACAACCCCATGTTTGGGAGCCATTGGCTAGGATGTGGAGAGCCTTAGAGAGCTCTGCAAATGGGTCTTGGGTCTTCTAGGCTATTGTGAAGACAAGGGTGGGCTGCATTTGGAGAGAGTGAACCTCACCTCCCTACAGGTGTTCAAACATGCAAATCAGGGTTAAAAGCTCACGTTAACCATTATTCTAGAACGTGCTCTTGGTTTTATGAGAGAAGATGGGGAGAACCATCTTGGAGGAGTGGTAGGCTCCTTTCCCCTTAGATGGAGCATGCAGGTGGGCTGCTTAGACACAGAAAGGCTACACTGAGCAGGCACGAAGACGCAGGCAGAAGGGGCAGTGGCCTGTGATAGGAAGTCCATACGGGGCCAAGTCCAGGCTATGACTGATTCTTTCCCTTCTAAGTCATTTGTCATAATCTCAGATTTGTCAGATTAATTAATCATCCTTCAAAGAATATGATTTTTCATGAGTACATTATCATCAGATGACAAATGAGTGGCACATCTCCCAGGCTGTGTATACAGATGCAGAGAAGCCACTCAGGCCTTGAATGTCCCAGCCCTCTTACCAGCAGATCCTACACCCCAGTGTTCACGGTCCGGGAATTTTAACGAACTCATGACTGTCCCTTCATTTGCGGCCCCGCTCTGTGTGGTACAGAGCGGTGGTAGAGTACATGAGCTCTGCAACCAAATGCTGCCTTCTGAGCTGGACAAATTATTTAATGGTGCTATGCCTCCGTTTCCACATCTGTACAGCAGGCTAATGATTGTACCCACCCCATAGGATCTTTGTGAGAATTAAATGAGTAACATGTGTAAAGTTCTTAGCACAATGACAGGCAGTCAGCACTTGGTAAACATGGGCTATTACTTATCATTAGTTTGGGACAACTTTTACACAATTCCAAAATTCAGAGAAGGTGAGGTTATGGAAGTTTTTGTTTCATTCTTAATTTACATATGTACTGTATACATATAGTGGGTTTTTAAATTTTTTTTTGAGACAGGGTCTCACTGTCACCTGGCTGGAGAGTTCAGTGGCACAATCACAGCTCACTGCAGCCTTGACCTCCCCAGGCTCACGTGGTCCTCCAACTTCAACCTCCTTAGTACCACTACAGGCACGTGGTAGAATACATGAGCAGTGGTACTACATTTTGTATTTTTTGTAGAAACAGGGTTTTACTGTGTTGCCTAGGCTGGTCTCGAACTCCTGGACTCAAGGAATCCTCTAGTCCCGACCTTTTGAAGTGCCAGGATTACAGGCATGAGCCACTGTGCCCAGCCTCATTACATATTTTTAAATAAAGCTTTTATTTCAGAACAGTTCTAGACTCACCCAGCAGTTGAGAGCCTAGTGGAGAGAGTTCCCGAATGCCCCGCACCTGGCCTCCCCTGTTATTAACGTCCTTGGCTGGTATGCAACATTACTCACAATTTAATGAGCCAATATTGATACATTAATACTGACTAAAATACACACATCATTTGGATTTCCTGTTTTTATCTAGTATCCTGTTTTCTGGTCCAAGACCCCATCCAGACCGCCACATGACATTTAGTCACCTTGTCGCCTTAGGCTCCTCTTGGTTGTGACGATCTCTGAAATTTTCCTTGTTTTTGATAACCTTGGCAGTTTTGAAGAACTCTGGTCAGGCATTTAGTTGATTAGTCCTCACTAAAGTCTGTCTATTTTTCTCATGAAGATAAATTTCTTTTAAGCTAAGTTTAACGCAGAATTGATTACAATTATACAAAAACCAAGTGTTCACCAATCTTTATTATTGCTCATGAAAATAAAATTAGCCAGATAGTTGGCAAATCCCACTTAAGCTTGAACTGGGTAGGCTCAGTAAAAGGAAAAGCTTTTCTTGTGTAAATAAAGCAGAGCAGATGTTTCTAATGAGTGAGGGGCTGCTCTGGGTAGCATCACGCAATCATCATGTGCTTTACGTAGCAACACGGTCCGGGAGAGCACCTGGGGCTCATGCAAAGCAGGGTAGATTGGACACTGCTGTCTTTCCTCATCAAGAGACCAGCTGCCTGTGCTCTCTCTGCAGCTAGGAGCTCCTGGTAGTGTGGTCTGAGCTCTCCAGAGTGGTGGATCAGAGCTGCCCGTTATTTATCTTAGCAAAAAAGGAACCATAAGGAAGCCTTTACAATGTGGTTCTGATCTTTTTCCAGTTTCCTGAGTTTAATTCAGGAGATGGCAACAAATTGTGAGTCAAGCACAACTGCTGACTGGCAGAAAAGAAATTGAAACCAGGTCCAATAATCATCCCAAACACGTTTTTATGGGGCATTTGCAGCCATCAGCAAGGGCTCTGCTACCGACTCACTCCAAGGGGCAGCATTCTGTGGACCTCTGCCCACAGCATCCAGAGGATGGGGCTGTGGATGGCGCTCCTCTCACTTCTGTTGGCCTTCTGAGGTCTGCTCTCATTGATGGCTCCCGCTCCTCCTGTCATGCCTTGGCCTTGGTTTGTTCTGTCCGGATGGAAGTGCCACTGATGACCGTAAGAAAACAATCAGTCTCAAAAGGAAAATAAGGCACAATAGAGCGGCAGAAAGCCTTCCCAGAGGATGGTGGCAAGGATGATGTTACATCCCATGGATACTTTACCCATATAAATTATATCTGTACGCTCAGCCTAGCTTTTGTAGACACAGCTGCATGCACTCTAACAACCTGCACGACGATCAGTGTGTCCCTTCGTGAATGGAATCGTTCCTTTGGCACAGTTAAGGGTGTGGGCTCTGATCCAGCTGGCTGAGGTCTAATTCCTCCCGGCCTATTGCTTACTATCTGTGTGTGACCCCTGACAAGTGACTCAACTTCATCTTAGTTTTCTCATTTGTAATGATAATGATGGCTATAGAGGGTCACTACGACTTGCCTATTAGTTATTGCACATAAAACACTTGGAATAGTGTCCAAAATGTGTAGGTGCTCTATAAATGTTCCCTCTTCTAAAGTACTGTGTGAGACACCGTGGGAAAAAACACAGAAGACAGAGGTGTGGCCTTAGCAGAGGAAACCACAGGCAAACAGGACAAATGAGTGCTGCTTTTGAGGTGTGAACAGGGCGCTGTTGGATCCCAGGAAAAAGAGAAAATCACAGTGGCCATCCGAGTAACATCTCTGTCCAGACACAGAGGAGTTTGTTGGTCAGAAAAGCAGGCAGGGCATTTGGGGGACCTCGCAGGGTGTCTGGCACCTGGCATACCAATGCCTGGAAACATGAAATCACGCGGCAAGCTGGGATGGGTGAGCACATTGCTTTGAGCAGGACTGCAGCTGATCAGAAGGAGGATCAGGAAGTCTATGGGGGCAAACAAGCTGCTAAGGTGTTCAGCCATTTGGCTGTCTGGATTTTGTGAAATCAGTTTTCTCTTTCACAAAGCGAGTTGCAGAAAGACAATGGTGATTCTGTGAAACGGAAGTTGAGAGATGCGGAGAGAAGATCTGGGAGTTCTACTGCTCATTTAACAGATGTTCTAGGAGGAGGGAGCAGACAGAGCAAAAAACGCACAGATCAGATGAGAGAACGCAATTTACCAGAGCTGCCGAAAGACACTAGACTTTGGCTTCAAAGGAAGGATCTTGTGAATAATTGGCCATTAAAAGAAAAGAAGTAGGTGAGCTCCACATTGATTTAGCTCTACTCCTGAGGACCCGTTCCCATTTATATTGCACACAGGGTAAGAAGGTTTAGCAGGATGTGGTAATCTTTCTGTGCTAGGAAGACAGAGGTTGGGGTTTGAAGCCATCATAGTAGCTAGAATTTAGGCGAATAATCCCTAAATTTTGGAAAGCAACTTTTGATTTTGGAAGAGCCCCCAGATCTGCCTTAAAATTATCTTCAAATCCATGGCTGACTCCCAAACCGGGCATGCACAGAGTGAAATGCTAAGGAGCTCAGTGGAGAACAGCAGCTGAAAGGCTAAAAAGAGGTGAACAGAGATTTCAGCAGCTGCCCTGCCATTGAGAGACAAAGTTTGAAGTTTTTGTCCTGCCAAAGTATCAATAGAAGGACTTAGTGTGACACTTAATTGAATGTGTCAACTTGGCTGGGCCACAGTGCCCAGTTATTTGGTCAAACATTATTTTGGATGTGTCTGTGAGGGTGTTTGTGAATGAGATTTATGTTTAAGTTGGTGGACTTTGAGTCAAGTAGATTGCCCTCCATAATGTGGGTGGGGCTTATCTAATTATTCGAAGGCATGGACAAAGCAAAGCCTGAGCAGGAGGGACTTCTGCAGCATGTGGCCTTTAGCCTGGAACTGCAACCTCAACTCTTCCTGGGTCTCTAGCCTTCTGGCCCATACAGCTCATTGTACTTGCCAGCTTCATAATTGTATGAGCAAATTCCTTAAAATATGCCTTCACACACACACACACACACACACACTCATGCACACACACACACACACACACACATCTTGTTGGTTCTGTTTCTCTTGAGAAGACTAATATACTTGGTAAGAGCAGCTGGCTTCCCATGAAAACCAAGACTAGCAATTGTGCCCTAGGACT